TGTGGATAGGTGACCTGTATGTATAGAAACTACTTTTCGGTGGTCCCAAGATGTGTAAATCAGTTGTCCGCTATTCCTCACCCAAGGCTGCCTGAATTACGGGTTAAGGCAGCATATAGTGAGTCACATATATGCTAATTCAAGTTCCCATACAAACTCTAAATAGTCATAGAAACTCTAAGTACCCATAGAAACTTTAAGCACTCATAGAAACTCAAAGTACCCATAGAAACTAGAAGTACACACACAAGAAAAAATTGTGCCTATGGTCTTTCGTAAAATTTCGTAGAAACCACCGGACTGCTTTTTCCACCCCAAAATCGGACTGGACTGCTTTTTCCGCCAATCGGACTGGACTCCTTTTTCCATTAACCTGACCCCACTGATATGACACAAAAATGTGTCTCTTGCACCGCGCGTGGCTGCCTGCCATTGCCTGCATCTTTAGACAGCATGCAAATCCTGCGCCACATGTCCGCATTTCACGTCTCTGATTGGTTGTTCCATCAGCAGCCGAAGTGCTGGCGGTGAACACAAGCCACACACATGTAAACAACTTTTCTTTGTTTGAATATAAGCGCTAAAACGCATGTATACACGTTGATATTCTGGTGAGGAAATGCACAGTTCCAAGAATATTTCAGGTAAATATATATTTCTATGCGGATTTTTGGCATTTTCAGTGTGATTTTAAAATGTACTTAACCTGGCGTACGTAGGCGTGAGTAGCAATGCTAAATGTTTAGCGTTTTTACCCTGCGTTTTACCAATCAAAACAATAAACAACTCCCACTATGGAGAACCCAGTAACATTTCTGATCCCAGCAATAATGTTTTTGATCAAAATATTTGTGGCTGTGCCTACATTTCAGACTATTCTTCTTGGGGAATACTAAGTCAGAATTGGGCAACCCTACAGTACCGTTCGCGTTATAGTTACCCTAACGGCCGTCACTAACGCGTTTCTTTTCCGTTACTTTTCCGTTACTTTTCCGTAAGTTTTCCGTTACTTTTGCGTAAGTTTTCCGTTACTTTTCCGTTACTTTTCCGTTAGACTTCTGCATTCATATGCAGGCCGCGGGAACATCACAGAATAATGGGAGGAGTACTAATTTACCTCATGCGGGGCGGGAAATTACCGATACACACCGCTGGAACAGCGGAAGGAACGTTGATCTAGCCTGCATTTTACTATATTGTAACGTTTAAAACGTTTTAACGATCACCGGCGCAATTCAATTAGATAGACATTTTCTTTTGTCAGTGTTGCCCATGCAAGCGTTTCTATAGTTTGTCAACTTTGTTTTGCTGTTTTTCTCTGTTAACTTATTTTACCACCGAATAAGCAAACCTAGATGATCTGAAGTTATAAATGCCCCGGTCCGCCGTACATAATAGGCGGCGGGCGTGAGGTAACGTTAGGGATGTGCAAAAACATCGCGGAAAATTCCTATAACACTCGAAAAAAGGCAGCATATTTACACGTGCCCACCAACATTTTTATGGCTAATTATTGACCAGTTTTGGGGAGTTTTGTTATGTCCTTAGAGTTTTGTTTAGAGTGGGACGGAAAGCCGTGCCGCCACTCCGACTCCATGCACTTCCGTGTTACATTACGTTGTATGTGACCAACAAAATTACGCCAAAGGCACCACAAATCCACATGTACATATATTTTTTTCCCGAAAATTCTTTTGAGTACGCATTTCGTCACTAGGATGTTGCTAATTAGTCGTAGAAATAAGGTAGAAACCAGCGTAAATGTGGCTCTCTCGAGATCCAGCTCTCTGCATTTCGCGCGGAAGGGCGCCCCAGCATGCAACGGGCTTCGTTCTAGCCAATCACAGCGCAGGTCATCTAAGGTGAACCAATCAGAGCGTAGCTACTT